CAACACTTGTTGTCTTCTGTTTTTTAACAGTAGCCATTCTAATGTGTGTGAGGTGATAGCTCATTGATGTTGTGATGTTTTTCAGTAAGTGAGAAGAATTATATTTTTAAAAAATATTGTTTTCATTGATTTTTTTAGAGAGAAAGGGAGGGAGAGGGAGAAAGAAATGATAAACATTGATCAGCGCATGCCCCCCTGCACGTCCCCCTGCACCCCAGTGTTGGAAAGAATTTGGAGAATAGAGATTTTCATCCATTGTTGGTGATGCAAGATTTGAGGGAAAACTAGAAGTTTCTGATAATGAAACATTCACCTACCATATGACTCAGCAATTCTATTTTAGGTATTTACCCAAAGAGAAATGAAAACATAGGTACACACATACACACAAAATGTGTATTCAGGAATATTTACTGCCATTTTATTTCTGATCATCAAGAACTGGAAACAGCCCAGAGGTCCATCTACAAGATAATGGACTAGCAGCCTTATAATTATATAATGAAATACAAGTTGGCAATAAAAATAAATGAACTACTTATGCATATAATAATGTGGATGAATCTCTAAAACATCATTAGTGAAGAATCCAAACACAAAATAATACATATTGTGTGATTACATTTATATGAATTTATGGAACATGCAAAACTAATCTATAGAGAGAAAAAAATACCAGAGAGTAGTTGCCTCTTGGGGCTAGGTTTGGGGGTTGACTAGGAAGGGACACAGCAAACTCTCGAGTGATGGAAATGTTCTTTACTTTGATCTGGGTGTGAGTACCTAGTGTTTTCATTTGCCAAAGCTCATAAAACTATACAGTTAAGACTTACACATCTTGCTGCATATAATTTTTATCTCAAAAAAGTAGTAAAATTAACTATAAATAAATATTGATCTTTGGTTAATGCTGTGTGTAGGGGGAAACTATACAGGTATCTACAACTTCCTTTGAAATGCATCAAGAAAGTAAGGTGGGTCAATGGATAGACAGGTATGTGATAACGCAAGTATAGCAAAACTTAATTGTAGCATATAGGTAGTGGGTACATAGTTGTGTGCTATACATTTCTTTAAACTTTTCTGCACGTTTGAAATTTTTCATAATAAAAGATTAGAGAAAAATGTTCACTTTGGAGAAAAATCCACTTCTCCCCTTCTCTCCCTTGGAACCATACAACAGATAAGGAAAATTAGAAACAAAAATTCAACTCCTTTTTAAAGAAAACCTAGGTCAGAGCTAAAACTCTGTATTTCAAAATACATGGAAGAGCAGTGAAAACCAGGTGAGACTGAAGGCATGCAAAAGGAAGCAGAAATAAGACGGCAAGGGGAGAATACTTAAGTGCTGCAGACCTCTGAAAGGTCAGGCAAATACATACTCTTCAAAGATGGTCACATGAGGTGCAAACCCTGAATCCCGTCTTTGCAGCAGTAGAATGGATCTTCTGTGGTTTGTGACAAGCGCTTCCTAGAAGTGGTTTGTTTTCAACGAGAAGGCAGAACTTAAGGAAGAATTACACAGGCAAGGAGGCAAATCTGTAGGAGGCAACTCTTTTCATAGCAGCCAAGAAAAGAGAGTGCTTACATTGTTAAAAAAAACACACAAAAAACCAAACCATAACAAAAATAACCTCACTAATAGAATTCATCAGAAAACAGTTAAATTCATATGTAAAATTTCACCAGCTTGGAACTTAGTATAGGCCCTTGTGCCACATAACTTTCCTCAAATAGGTGATCCAGGAAAAACTTTTCTCCTTCAAAAACGAGTCCTGGAAAATGAAGCTACACAGTATGTATACAACTATATCAGAGTATGAATGGTGGAAATAAACAGGAAAAGTAAATGGCAGGAAAGGAGTTTCACCACTGATAAGTTGCCACAAAGCAGATTCATACTTTAGTGTGAATTACAAATATTAATGAAATAATTTCCTCTTAAAAGCACATTTAAGGTGGAAGTAAATGTAAGAATTTAGGTAAAAAGACGGTGAAACATAGGAGCAGATGAAAGCAAGTTAACAGACAAAGCAAAGATGAGAGATAAAAATTATCTCAGAAAAAAAAATATTGTTGGTTTCTTATATATGTGTGTATAAATATATTAAAATTATTGTATTTAATTAAAAGAAAAAGAAAAAATTACAGATTCACAGAACAATATGAATAGACCTTTAGAACACCAGAAACAAAAGAAGTCAGACATAAAGGAATATGTGGTACATTATTCCATTGATGCGTCATTTAGAACAAGAAAAAATGGTATAAGATGATGTAAATCAGAACAGTTCCTGTCTGTGTGTGAGAGGAACTGCCTGGGAAAGGCTAAGAGGGAAATGTGTGGATTATGAAGATGTTCTGTATCTTGGGTAGGGTGGTGGCTACATAGATGCAAACAACTGTCAAAGCTCGTTAAACTAAATACTTAAATGTGTGATGGATACTAAGCCAAATTCAGATAACTGCTACCCCATCAGTAAAGAGCAGATAAATCCAGTCTCATTAAAACTACTATAGAACATGGAAAGAGAAAGATCTTTCCAGAATTTTGGAAGAGTGCACAAAATGGAAACCAATCTCCTATTAATGTAGAAATACTAGATAAAATATTAGCAAACAGAATTCACCAGCACAACAAAAAAATAATACATCACAGCAAGTGGAGTTTATTCCAGAAATGCAAAGATAATTCAATACTACAAAAATGATTAATAATTCTGTTAATAGATTTATGATGAAAAATCATGTTTATATGGGTGCTAAAATGGATTTATGACAATTTGATATTCAATTTTTATGAGAAATAAAAGTAAAATTAGTAAGTAGTTAACTACATTAAGCTATATATTATATATTAATATATTAATATATATTTCTTAATATATTAAAATATGGTTCTCAACTCAAAAGTTGGCATAGTATTTCCTAGGAAGTAGACAGACTCCCACTAAAATCAGGAACAAGTCAGGTATACTCATTAGTATTACAATGCAGTATTAGTCAGGAGTAACTTAATCACTGATGCCGTAAGAAAAGGAAGAAATAAAAGGTATAAAATTTGGAAATTAGACAAAATTATCAATATTTGCAGATATGACTCAATTTATAGAAACTTCAGTAAGCTAAATATATAACAGTTTTTATATATACAAACAGTAATCATTATTAGAAGTGCCCTCCCCAAAAGTAAAATGCCCAGGAATAAACTAGATTTAGAAAGAGAAAACCTAAAAATGATCCTCAGAAACAAAGACATAAACAACCAGAAGGGAATACCATGGTCTTTGATTAGGAAGAATGAACATCCTAAAATGTTAACATGATCCAAATAAAATTTAACATGACTCAAGTAAAATTACCAATAAGGTTTTTTTTAGAGGAATGGAATCTAGACAAACCATATCTGAATTTTATATGGAAAATCAAACAAGCAAAAATTACCAAAAAAATAGTTCATTTATTATAAAGCCTCACTAGGTAAAATATGTTCTAATGCTTCATAAATAAAAAGAGAGGTGGAACAGAATAGAAAGTCCAGAAACTGACATAAACACATACAATATCAGTGAGGAAAGGATGGACCTTTTAATAGCTGGTAGTGGGACAACTGAGTTTGAGCTTATATAGTAATTTTCTAAATGATTAGTAATACATAAAAATATTAAAACTGGAAAAAATCATGGTTAGAAAATGTGTTTGTATCTCATTATAGATCATTCGTTTTAAGGTATCACACTAATTTCAAAGGTAAGAAAGGAAAAAGATTCATTGAGTACATAAAAAATTAAAAGTATGTTTCCCTTGGCATAAAACACTATAATTAACTGTCAAAAGAAAAATAGAAAGTATAAAAAATTTTATAGATACATACAACAGGTATATATATATAACTTCCCTAATATATAAAAAATTCCAATAAATCACTAAAAAATAGAAAAAGCCACAAAGAAAGATGATTATTTCTTAAGGCTGATGCTCAACTTTGTTTTTATTAAGAGAAATGAAACTTAAAAATAAAGTGGAAAGACAAAGTACACTGAAATACCAGACTGGTGTTTTGCTAATGGTATGGAGAAAGAAATACTTTGATATAGTCTTTGTGGAGGAATCAACATGGAGAACTGTGTAACAGCTTTCAAAATTACAGTTATACATATGCTTTGATCAGTAATTTCACTTCTAGGGATATATCTTAGAGTTTCAAAATGTATATTTGAGCTCCATTATTTATTGCAACATTGCTTGAACTTGTGAAAAATTGAAAACATCCCAAACATCTAGTTAGTCTGCTCTCAGCTCACAAAGCTAGACGGGACTCTGTCCACTTAGATTAAGGGCTGTCTTTTTCTTATGCACACATAGGCATGGTATGGGCTAGCATTTATTAATTTCTCAAAGGGAGAACTTGAAGGCTTTTGTGAAGCAATCCCAAGATTTTTATGATTTTCTAAATCTTGTATTGTATTGCCAACCCATAATTTAATTGCAGTTTTACCCAACTTTATCAAGTTCTTCCAAAGCATTTCTAATCCAGTTTTAATGAAATAGAAACAACTCTCTTTCTGCAGTCATAATTCATCAGTTTGTGTAATAATTAAATGAATTATGTAACTAAACTGTTACAACTAATATATCCACGTTCAGAAATAAATAGAACTGACTCTTGGCATCACTCAGTTGCTGGAGTAGCTGTGGTCTGGCTTGATGAAAAGGAGCCTGCCTGCCGCAGGGTTCCCCAACCAGGACAGCAGTTGCTGAATCCGAAAGAGGGATTGGAGCACTCTGGTTAATCCAGCAAATTGGTTAAATGGTCATTTAAGAGCGCTTTTACTGCATACTGACAATAAATAGCAATCCATTGTGTTCCAAAATAAATAAAATCAGAGTAATCCTAATAAAAAAAGATTTGCTAGTATATTCACATTTTTCTGTTATGAGCGCTTTAATCTTCATTTATTACTTCCATATGAGCACACATTCTTTCCAATATGTTACAGGCTTTGGTCAAAGAGTTACAAGTTGATGTCCATTCATTAAGGCGACAAATCAGAGAGCTTAAAAAAATCCAGAGAAACAAGGATGCTCGTAAAAGCTCAACTCATAAAGCCCAGACCTTGGCAGCTTCTATCCTCAACATTTCACGATCAGATCTAGAGGAAATACTGGACACAGAAGATGAAGTGGTAAGAGCTTTTAAATATTTACTAGTAAAGGGCTTTGGCACATTGAATTTAAGTACATATCTTTATTTGTTTTAGAACTCTTAGAATTTTATATTTAAGGTAATATTAATGAAGGTAAGATTATTAATGCACCAATGAAAGATACCTCAAGAGTATTAACCAACCCAAAAACCTTTAGAGAAATTTAATTGTAATACAGGAAAAAACAAGTCTGTGTAACCTTTAGAACTGCTTGTTATTCAGGTCAGTTATCCTTTCCTGTCTGCTCCATTTTCTTTAATTTAATTAATCATATCTTGTAAGCTAGTATTTTTAATTAAGCCAGTTTGAATGGATTTGGTTAAGCTGGGTCACCATTGATGTGGGGATTCTTTCCTCCTGCGTGAGATTTGAAAACGTAGTTAATCTAGTGGCTTTCCTACCTAAATTCAAAATTTTTGTGGGTCAAATTAAAAAAAGATGCACGTACTCCTTTAAATTGGGTGAAATACTCCTGTCCGAGTGGATTAATGTGCGGAAGGTGTAGGTCTTCAGGGGCCTCTCTGTCCCCCCGGGAAGGGCGCTGTGCGTTGACATAGTTACTACCTCAGAAACAGCAGTGTCGCAGCTGCACACGGTCCTCTGTGAACCTGGGGAGGATGCTCAGCCCTGTTCCACTGCTAGGTCTCTGGGATTTAATACATTAATGTTCAGTTTTTCATTGTTTGGAAAGACTAAAGAGCTGATGGCGCCAGCAGCTTCCCAATACATATTTGCTCAGTGAATAAAGAAAATGATAGACTGAAGTGTTTGTGTGAGAACATCCTCTAGTCCTGCAGCAGCTTCTCGAAGACCTGGAGTAGAGAAGAGCTACAACTGGCAAAAGTTTTTAACCTGCCAAGAATTCTTAGAAAGGAGGTCAGAGGAATCCTACAGAGGTGATTTTCATCCTGTGGGTGAATAGGATAGTGAATTATGAGTTTCCTCTTTTCATCACCCTGTCCACAATGTCTCTGGCTTTCTATAGAATTCTGAATTTTGAAACACAGAGCATTATCAGAGAGAGCACCAAATATAAGACACACAGGAAACAATAGTATCTCTAGCAAGGGTGTTAGCTATAACTTATTATAGACATTGATTAAAAATTTGTTGATTGGTGATGAGAAACCTAAAAAAAGTTAAGGCTAAGGCCCCACTGCTGCCTCAGAGTTTTAAAACAAGCAGATTTAGCAAAACCCCACCAGTGTGTATGTGTTCGTGTGTGCATATGTGAACACACAGATACATATTCTGGAAGATAGGACCCCGCCTTTGTGTGGTCTCAAAAGATGTCTTCTCTGGGCTGGGTTACAAGTTAGAAAAAGCACCCCCTCTGACTGGACAGGTTAAAAAAAGATCTCTTTACAGTCCCAAAGAGTAGATGACACACTGCTATGAAGAAGTGGCTCCTGCCTCTGGGCAGATGCAGTCTAGAGCCAGAGAACACAGCACTGCAGTGTGCATATCACACAAGCTTGAATGGAAGGCCTGCAGGAAGGGAAAGGACTCCAGTAGAAACACACTGTGCTGAGGAGGATCCACACACCTTGACATATTTGCTATATGTAACTGTAGATCAGAGCCTGCTTAAACTGATCCCTGCATCTTTCAGAGGTCTGAAGAGTTGAGTTTGACTTAGCCAAGCAGAGCCCAAACCACCTGACTTATATTCTTTAAGCTATACATCAAACTCTAGTAAATTCATGTGAAAAACTGAGACAGCCTAGGTGAAGTGCCTACCCTGACACCTGGCATACAGTAAAGTTCAACAAATGTTAGTTTCCCAAGCCGTTCCTGTTTTGAAAAGTATTTTTTGGTAAACTGACTATGAGTTTAGTAAATAATCAACTGAACATATGAGTATATTACACTTTCAGGAATATTTTACCTTGATAATTGGTGAGTTGAAAATATTTAGTGACTTTCAGTACTTTAAGTTGGAGTGTCTGTCCCTTGCCTATCAGCTAGTTGTTGGATATTTTAAACAAGCATTTTAATACACCAGAGCCATTCCATACTATATTTTGTTTTTAATTGTAACAATTATTCTTTAGTTACCTATTGACAAGTCAGATCCTTGAGTATAACGTTGTATGTATCTTACAAGGGTCACTTGTAAATAATTCTTCTACACAGCTCCATCTTGTTTTTCATTTTATTTCAATCACTTTCACCTCCACCACAGTCCCTACCTTGAGCTCCACTGTGAAGGCAGAAATAAAATATCACTGAATTACATTGTGAATATAGAAATACACATGTATGTAAATATTTATAAGTTAAATAGTAGAGAGCATGGATTTGAATATTCTCTGCTCTTGAAAGAGGCTGCTCTTTGTTGAACCCAGTTCTACTGACATCTCTCTAGATTTAGTCCATGTCTAATAGTATGAACTGCTTTGTTTAAATACAGTTAACACCTGTGTGTTTATTCACCTCCCTTAGGAACTCACAAGGACAAAGGCAGATGCGGAAAACGACAGGGAGTGGCTGTTGTACATTCAGAAGCTTCTTGAAGGACAGGTATTTCATTTTCTACTTCCCATGTGAAAACATCTAGGTAGGAATTCCAAGCCTTACATTTTTACTAGGTGTCTAACTTTTTGTAAATACTTACACATTATTTGCTTCTGTTAGGTGCAGAAGTATTCCGACAGGTAGACTGGAAAGTTAACCCTCTATTTGTGCTTCTGCACTTAACACACGAAACAGATGTGTTGGGAAAGAGCCAACATGGGTCTTCACAAATGGATTAATTAAATTATTGAGCCAACCTCTCTGCTTGCTAGACTGAAAAGGATCCATTCTCTCAGCCCTCGTAGGAAAAAGAGATTCTTTATTATGTGTCTTTAAAGTTAGTAGTTGATATGGACACCTGAGGAGTTCATGGGTTTCGGTGACCTTTTGCTATGGACCTGTTTCCAGTCAATTCATGTTTTCCTCGCAGCCAGACAGCTGTTTATTACTGTGTCTTCCTGCATTCTCTACAATATTTTCTACTGAGACCTCGAGCAGCTTGTTAGTGGGAAGTAAATATTGATTTGGCATCCTGTCAATGCAGAAAGAATGAAAAAATTTCCACCAGAGGCCCCTCAAACATTTTCCTATCGACATTTTCTGGGCCGAGTGGAAAGCTGCATAGAGGATGACAAGGCCAAGACGAGCGGAGGTCCCGGAGGGGTCTGTTGAGACTGCTGCTGTGACCTGTGTGATACTTTTTCTTCCCTTTCAAGTAGTTTTTTAATACACATAGAGTCTGCTGGGAGGCGCCCCTCTTGTAAGTGATCAAGGGCAGTTTATTGGCAGGTGAGAGCCTTGCTTTTCTAGTCAGAGCCAGCTTTTGTTTTGACATCACTGACAGCATGTAATGTATTCTAAAACTTTTTCATTATAGTTTGTTTTGCTCAACCTAATTGTTTATTTTAAAAATGAAATGGAATAGAAACAGCTAAAACATATTTCTCAAAATGGCAAAAATATTATTGTCCTGTGAGTTTTAGAAAGTTGTAAATGTTTCTATATGAAGGTTAAAAGTAAAAGCTGACATAAAATGAAAATTATTTTACATTTATATTAACAAATAGACTTCTCTATGCTTTTAAAAAAGCCAAGAGTAAATAAATAATGTATGAACTATTCATATTTTTAATATCAGTTTTATGCATTTTGAAATTGTATTCAGAATCACTTCAATAGTAATAGAAGGTGGTTGGCAAGCTTGGTCTTACAGTTGTTGAAGTGCAGACGTGCAGGTACTAAACATAGCTTTCTATGATGACAACTTGCTTTTGAGAAGAAATGCCATTTGTTAATCATATCTCATGCCCAGCACGAGCACCCAGCCCAGTGTCTGGCAGATCAAAGGAATCCAATAATGATTCTTATGGGGGTTTTTTCAGCTAAAAAGAATAAAAATAAACTTTTAAATGATTTTTTTTAATGTTCAACTTGTAAAAATGACCCTTCAATATGGAAATTTTTATCATCAGTTATGAACATAAAAATAAAAAATCTATATGTATAAATCTTTATTACATTTTACAAAAGCTAAATTGACGCCAGGCCTGAGTTTTTTTGACTCACACATGGAGACAGAGACACACATTCTACGTGATCTGGATGTACACTTACTCTGGCCAGTTAGTGTAAAAAAATCCTGTTGAAAGTGGCATTAGACTGCTTAATACTGTAGTTTGATATAGTGCCTTTTTGTGCCACTGAGCCTGGACTCTGGAATATAATTGCCTGGCAGTATTGATTTAATTGCCCGGGTTTATTTGTGGACTCCTAATTATTGACTGAGGTAAATTTAATTGAGCAGCCTTTATGAACACTGGGAAACGCTGCTGTTGCTGTAACACGTAATGAACTGCAGCGTGTGCCTTTAGATCATTTTTCAAGCTAATTTTATTCCACTGTGACAGCATGATAACATTTAAAAAGTCAAAGACTTTTTATTTTTATTACTGACATAGGTGGTTTTGCTGATGTCTTTGAATTTTGTGAGAAAAAAATAGAAACTTCATTTGTTGCACTTGATGTCACTTTATACTAATTATGCCCAAGAGAAAAATCTATAAAATGGAAAACGTCTCCTTTTTTCTAGCCAGTTTTCTTCTCTCTCTACTCCAGCAATTACATTTGTCCTGAATTTTAGAAAAGGTTTCCTTTGTCCACCATTTTTTTAGAGCCTCAGTGATGCTCACGGGATTGTGTGAGCAAAGTGTAAATATGCTCATTCATATGCTTTATTTTGTTTATGGCATACAGCTTCATGCAGCTGAGGTTTCGTGATCTTTAAGCTGGTGGATAATTGTGTACATACATCCCTGAAATAAATACTAAACAATTCATTGTTGATACTTGATTATTAAAATATTTTGAAGATAAAATTATAGAAAAACTTTACTTTGATGTCCTCCCTCCAGGTTGGGTGCTTTATGTCAGTGGTTTTCAGTCAGTGTGCTACAAGAATTGTTAAAACATGCAACACCTGACTGTTTAGTCAGGGACACTGACCTCTTTTCTCTTAGATTGTCAAATGAAAAAATGACAGCAGCCAACACAGCAATAACCCTCTGGCGTGAATGCCCTTTCTTGAGCCATAAATATATAGGTCATATCATAGAGTTGCATCTTATTGGTCATGTCTCATAATAAGGTTGCATCTGATTGGTTGATTCTTGCTAACAGAAATCCTTATATACAGGTACAGGCACTTGATTTTTTTAAAAAAAATCATTTTGGAGCAAAAAGGGTAGATAATTATAATTATTTTTTTGGTAAATCAATTAAAATTATATCTAAGTTTTGTCAGACGGCAAAAAATATATTTTTTGGCGTGCTGCAGAATTTCAGTAATTAGTTCATGTGTTCCACGAGATGAAAAAGGTTGAAAATCACTGCGTTATGTAATAGAATTCTGAGATCATAGGAGCTGATCTAGTCTTGTAGTTTTATCTTTTGTGTAAGGGTTAGGCCACAGAATTGTTTCCTGTTAAAGAAACTTTTCTCTACATTCATTTATTGAAAATTTATATTGGTAAAATATTAACCACAAAATAAAAAGCTGTTCTGCCATGTGGCAATATGTGACTACACAATAATACAATACCTACTGCTACTGTCAGCCAGAAGTGCATGAGAACTAAAAGGTCGAAAATCTTAACTTACCTATATTTAAAACAGAATGCAAATATATGTTAGTATTTCACATACTTCTGATGCAGTTGGTAGTTTTATGTATTTGGTTTTTATCTACACCTAACCTTTATCCTTACAGGTTTCTAGTAATAAGAATCAAACTGAAAAAAAAACACACACCCTCTAATATCTACTTTCATTTTTTTTTTTTTAAATATATCTTTATTGATTTCAGAGAGAGGAGAGGAGATGGAGAGAGAGAGGTAGAAACATCAATGATGAGAGTCATTGATTGGCTGCAGCCCGCAACCCGGGCATGTGCCCTGACCGGGAGTCGAACCCTGATCGCCTGGATCCTAGGTCAACGCTCAACCACTGAGCCATGCCCAGCCGGGCTCTACTTTCATTTTTTAAGACATAACTGCCTTAATTTCTTTGAACATGTTTTCTTGTATTAATCTCTCTTTTTACATTAATATGTTTTTTAAAACAATTTATGGCAGAAGACAAAAAGCAAATTAATGGCTATAATAGGATGGGAGTACTGCCAAATTAGTTTTTTGTAGTTTAGTGAATTGGAGAAAGAACAGAGATAGGAAAAGTAGGTCTGAAAAAAACTACAAAAGCTTCTGAGTAAGAAAAGGATGTCATCAGAGCTCTGCTTTAGAAGAATACGTGAGGTCAGCATGAGGCTGATTTGGAGAAGAGACTTGGAGCAAGAAGGTAGCATAGGCAAAGGGCAGTGAGGGCCTGCACGTGCCCTAGCCATCGAAACAATGAGATAGATGCGATCCTCATTGCAGTGACCGATTCAATGGCAGAAATGAGATGAGATGAAGGGGTCAGGAGGCAGAAACCAAAGGTGGTTAAGTTTAATGCCCTACATGATGAGAAAGAAGATGATAACTTTAAGAGTCTTAGGGACCAAAAGAGGTAGATCAGATTTGGTAGGAAGAGTACGTCACTAATTGAAGCCATAGAAAATTTAGTAGGTATGTGTTTCATTAACAATATTTCGAGGACTCATGATTTGCCATGAATTCAGCCCAGTCTTCTGTGTGGCTTAGCTCAGTGAAATTTAACTATTTAAGAACACATTTCAAACTTCTACAACTCAGCAACAAAAAGAAAAAAAATTGATTTGAATAGACATTTCTACAAGAAGATATAAAAATAGCCAATAAGTACATGAAAGGATGTTCAATATTATTAGCCATTAGGAAAATGAAACCCAAAAACCAAAATGAGATATGTTCTTAAAACCCAGTAAGATGGCTGTAATAAAAAGGACAGATAATAACGAGTGTTGATGAGGATGTGAAGAAATTAGAACCCTCATGCCTTGGTGCGGGGGATGTAAAGTGGTGCTGTCTCTGTGGAAAACAGTCTGGCAGTTCCTCAAAAAGTTAAAGATGGGGATTATATGACCTATCAGTCAACTCCTAGGTATTTACCCAAGAGAAATGAAAATATATGTCCATACTAAAACTTTTACCTGAATGATCATAGTAACATTATTCATAATAGCTCAAAAATGGAAGAAAACCAAAGGTCAGTCAACTGATGAATGGATAAAAAATGTAGCATGTGTGTACATGGAAAGAACTGACACATGCATACTACAGCATGGGAACCTTGCAAACCTCATGCTAAGGGAAAGAAGCCATATTCCAAAGGCTACAGATAGTATGGCTGCATTCATGTGAAATGTCCAGAATAAGCACATATATCAGACAGAAAGTAAATTATGGTTGCCAGGGATGGGGTGAGATGGAGAATAACTACTAATGGGTAGAGGGTTTGTTCTTGGGGTGATGAAAGTGTTCTGGAATTAGATAGTGATGATGGTCACACCACCTTATGAATATACTAAATGCCAATGAATTATACACTTTAAAACGGTGAACAATATGTTATGTGAATTATATTTCCATCTAAAAAATGAATTCCTTACCCTGGCCAGTTTGCTCAGTGGTTAAAGCGTCAGCCCACAGACTGAAGGGTCCTAAGTTTGATTCCGGCCAAGGTCACGTACCTGGGTTGCAGGCACCATCCCTGGCCCTGGTCAGGGTGCATGCAGGAGGCAACCAGTTGATGTGTCTCTCTCATATCCATGTTTCTCTCTCTCTCTCTCTCTCTCTCTCTCTCTCTCTCTCTCTTCCCCCTCACCCCTTCCACTCTTCTTGAAAAGCAATGGAAAAAATATCCTCAGGTGAGGATAAAAAAAATTAATTTCTTAATATGAGATACATTGAAAGAGAAAAAAGAGAATACATTTAAAAGTAAATTCACCCCAGAAAATTCCTGGACTTGATGGCTTCACTGTTGAATTTTACCAAATATTCAAAGAAGAATTAACACTTACCCCTCCTCAGACTATTCAGTATATTCAATAGATTTAATATATTGGAAGACCAACCTCATTTTACTAGGCCAGCATTATCCTGATTCCAAAACCAGATAGACACTACAAAGAAAGAAATTATAGGCCAATATCCCTGATGAGCATAGATACAAAAATCCTCAACAAAATATTAGCAAATTGAATTCAGCAATACATTAAAAAGATCATACACCTCCCCTCTGAGATTTGTCATATATTAAGAGGCAGTATCAATTTCAGTAAAATAGAGGGACATCTTATGTGTAAACTGAAAGAAAATGAAATAAAATAATTTAACTCATTCATAGTTATGGCCAGTAGACAGAAATTCAAATTCAAATGCATTTAAGGCAATCTTTTCTAATGCTGGGGGACACAGCATATGTGAAATAAGAACTTTATTGAATTTAAATTTTATTTTTCAATTACATTTTGCATTCAACATTATTGTGTATTGGTTTCAGGTGTACAGCATAGTGGCTAGAAAATCATACATTTTATAAAGTGTTCCTCCAATATTTCAGGGACCCACCTGGCACCATACATAGTTATTGCAATATTGTTGACTATGTTCCCTATGCTTTGCTTTACATCCCTGGGACAGTTTTGTAACTACCAATTAGTAATTCTAATTCCTTCACCTTTTTCACCCAGCCCTCCAAACACTTCCCCTCTCGCATTCTTCAGTCTGTTCTCTATATTTATATCTGTTTCTATTTTGTTAGTTTATTTTGTTCTTTACATTCCTTATATAAGTGAGATCATATGGTATTTGTCTTTCTCTGACTGACTTACTTCACTTAGCATAATACCCTCTAGGTCCATCTATCTGTTGCAAATGGTAAGATTTCATTCTTTTTCAAGGCCGAGTAATATACCATTGCAGCGTATACCACCACTTCTTTATCCACTCATTTACTGACAGGCACTTAGGTTGCTTCCATATCTCCGCTATTGTAAATGATGCTGCAATAAACAAAGGAGTGCATACGGTCTTTCAAATTAGTGTTTCTGGTTTCTTCAGATATATTCCCAGAAATGGAATGTCTGGGTCATAAGGCAGTGCCATTAATTTTTTGAGAAAACTCCATGCTTTTTCCCCACAGTGGCTGCACCAGACTGCATTCCCACCAGCTTCTCATTTCAACTCCGAACATATTCACTCTCTTGCTTTCTGTGTCACACTTATACACACTCACACTCTCACAGTCATCCTGTCTTACGCACATAAACCTACACACTCAGTTACCCACACAATTTCTCACATGTAGCTGAAATAGCAAAAGCTTAAAATTCTCCATTCAGAGGGTTGCTGGGATTTTTTTTAGATTTAACAATTTCAAGCCTATTTGCATGTTTCCAGAAAAAACACACACATGTGGTTAAAAGTTAAAAGGTGAATTTTATATTATGTGTATTTTATTCCTATAAAAAATTGGGGAAAATAATGAAAGTAAAACAAGTTACAGCCTTTGCCGAAGTTTGAGAATAGCAAATACTGCCTTCTCTGTGAGTCAGTTTTCGGCAGAACTCTGAGATAGATGATGATGATGATAGATAGATAGATGATAGATAGATAGATAGATAGATAGATAGATAGATAGATAGATAGATAGATAGATAGATGATAGATATAAAACCAGAAAAATAAACATTTAAGACATATAATATACATACATATATGTGTGTGTGTGTGTGTGTGTGTGTGTGTGTATTTGTATATATATCCAGGAAAATAAACAACATTTAGGACTCTTGGCTCAAAATTCAGTGCCAAATTTAAATTATAAATTGTTTCTCCTGATAGCATTCTTGGCTGTTTAATCTTTTAATTATAAGCTAACAGAGTATATCCTATCCATTTAAATGTGTCTATAATATACATATATAAATACATAATGTATATGTATACATGGTGTATATAAATATTGATTTATACTAAATTTTGCCCCATTCATTTTATTTATTTATTTTAATCCTCACCTGAGGATATTTTTTCCATTGCTTTTCCAGAGAGAGTAGAAGAGAGAGCGAGAGCGATCGCGATCGATGTGAGAGAGACACATCAATTGGTTGCCTCTTGAATGTGCCTCGACTGAGGCCAGGGATCGAGCCTGCAACCGAGGTATGTGCCCTTGGCTGGAATCAAACCCAGGACCCTTCAGTCTGCAGGCTGACCACTGAGACAAACTGGCCAGGGTTGCACTATTCATTTTATAACAGTCCAACTGCATTGGCCTTTCTTAAGTCTCACTGAATCATATCTTTTGTAAAAGCAGGTGTAAAACATAAAATTTAATATCTTCACTTTCAGTAAGACTCAAGCTAGATTAAAGTCAGTTTGTATTTTTTAAGCACTATCTTTTTTGATAATAGTTTTCAAACCAAAAACAAGAATAAAAATGGTTAGAATGTTAATCTTGTCCTGTAGGTTTAAAAAGTTACCCTTATTTTAATTTTTTTCTTTCAACACAAAAATTTTTAATTTTATATTATTAGGGAATACATTCCAGTTAGTGCTGGTGCTCTAGGTTATATAAGTATGTTTTCCAGTCATGGTCTTTAGGCTTTGTTATGTTTCCCAGGTGGCTCTCAACGTCTCCAACCATCATTCATATCTTACCTTTATACAGAAACACCTCTAAATGAAGCCACAATCTGTAAGTGTAAGTGATGAGTTTGAGATTGTCAGTGGCTAAAGGCAAACATCAGTAGTGTGTCCATATAAGAGAACCTGGAAATCTGTGTGAAATCAGGGGAAATCCTGCAGGAATAGAAATCACCTTTTTTAGCAGGGACAGCCAGAAGCACTAGGAAGATTCCCTCTAAGACTGCAGTGCCGACCAGCAAAACTCTCCTTTGTCATTCTCATGCACTAGTTGAATTTTTGTAGTAAGAAATCTCACAGTGTCACCCCTTTACCTTTTCCTTTTTCCTCTTGTACTGAAGAGCAAGCTTGTGTAACTGCACTGTCATCACCAGGGGCATCGCTTCTTTTGGATGCAAAAGAAAGAAGTCAGGCAGGCTTTCTGGGCTTCGTAGTCCCTGGCTTGTGCCGTCGGAAATGAAACGTGAGGCAGCGTAATTGTTGGGTTTGTTGTTTAAAATAGATTTGAAAGGGCAGGAACCATTCTGGTTGGCTTAGCTAACTGCAATCACCTTAGCTGAGCCTAGTGGAGCTGAGCAGAGCTGGCAGCTCATTCAGAGGGTGTCTTGGCTCAGGTGACACGGTGGGTGGTCACCCAGGCACAAAAAAGGACCTGATGCTACTTCCCTGTTGGGAAGGGGTCTGCATGAAAAGCACTCTCATTAATATAGTCGGGAAAACAAACTTAGCCTTTCCCTGGTTAATCAGAAGGACAACTCCAAGAAGTGACTTAATGAACTTCTGAGTTCCGTCTGTGAGCCTAAATAGCTGGGAAGAGAATCCGAGGGAGTCCACAGGCCAGGGGCGGTCCTTGGGCGCTTTTCAAACACAAAGAGCTGGAGTTCTGCTGGCAGCCGGTGAAGCAGAGGGAACGATAAAACTACTAGGAAAGTTTTATAAATTATGAAATTTAAAAATATACTCTACATTTCATAAACTCAGCAGTTTGCAACATGTGTATTACACTTTGATATGCCAAACAAACTTTTCTATAACAACTTAATCAATGGGTATACTTTTGCCATTTTTTTCCTCTGAAATTTTACCCTACGACTCGGGCTGTTCAGCTCTAACACAGACAAGGGTATTGATAGTTCTCTCTCACTCCTTCATGAGTGATGAGCAGACAGCACTACTTCCGCGGGCCTGCGGGCCCTGGAGAGGACTGTAACCTGCTATTGATCAGCTGATTGAAGATAAATGGCTTCGCTGCTTGTATTGCAGATTACATCATTAACATGGTCAGTAAACCATGAATTGTTCAATAAGGCGTTTATCTTTTTTCATTTTACTCCAGCTCTTTTATCATTTTTATTGTAAAAGACAAAATTACCCACACGAACCAGCAAGATCAGTTGAAAAGAGACCCAGTAAGGTACCATTATGGTGCAAAGTTGCAGACAGCTGAGTTCTAATGGTTTAATGATATTTAGTATATTTTTTTGAACTGAAGAAAATATGGAGTTTTGATAACCTTTTTTTCCCCCTGTGTTTCTCTTACAGCTTCCTTTTGCCTCATATTTACTAGAAGCAGTACTGGAGAAAATAAATGAAAAGAAGAAACTGGTTGAAGTATATTTCACAATTATGAAAGATATTAGATGATATTATAATGGAGAACTTTTTTCAAATGTGAAAACTTTGTATGTGGTGTGATTGGAAAACATTAGTTGAGATCCTGATACAGTATCTGCTCCACCTATCAATATTCAGGTTCAATACCAAAATAGAAGTCCCTGAAACTAATTAATTGCTGAGCAAGTGAAAATAATTAAGTGCATGGCCATTTAAAAGGAAGTAGTGTAGCATTTGATTGTTGAATACAAATGTTGCCACAAATCAATGCAAACTTAAAAATTATTTTCCTTCTAGTGCATTAGAAGAAATTAGAACAAGCTTGACACACTCAAATTGGGCTGAATATAAAAAGAAAAAGATGTCAACTGAGGATTTAATCTTTGAAGTTTTATAAAGGAACTAGGCTTTTAATAAAACTGCTATAAATGGCCTTAAATCGTCAAGTGAGCAAAAACATTTGTATTATAAGCAAATATAACATGAAGCAGCATAACTTAAGGATGAGCATTTAGTGAAGTAATTTGTGTGGTCCAACTATATTTGGTCTCAATATTCTGGATCATATAAGAGATACTGTATTTTCCTAGCACTATTTGACAAAAATAAAAACATTTTCTCCTCTCTTTTTTTAAATTCATAATTCTTTGTGTGGTCATATAAATTAGCAAGGACCACAAATCCAGTGTATAAAATTGGGCTAGATCTTATTGTAGTCAACTAATGAGAGTTAGATTCTTAACAGTGATGTCTTCCTGTCTGGTTCCTTTATATATATATCTTTATTGATTTCAGAGAGAGGAAAGGAGAGGGAGAGAGAGAGATGGAAACATCAGTGATGAGAGAGTCATTGATCGGCTGCAGCCCACATCCCGGGCATGTGCCCTGACCGGGAATCGAACCCCGATCGCCTGGATCCTAGGTCGATGCTCAACCGCTGAGCCATGCCCGGCCGGGCTGTCTGGTTCCTTTAATTCACCAAACTTGCATGTTCCTCCAGTCTTTACCCTTGTTACCCTCTTTCTCCGTACTTAACTTTCTCACGACTGGCTCCTTCTCACGGTTCAGGTTCATGTTAGGTATTCCTTCAGAAACACAGTCCCTGGCCACCTTACTATTTAATTTCCTTTATAACAGAAAAATGATCTACTTTATCTGCTCACTTGTTTTGTTGCTATTTCCCCCCACCTTAAGAATAGGTCCCATGCGGTTAAGGCAGAGGCACCTGCCACCTGTTTTTGTGTGGCCTATAGGCTAAAAATGGTTTTTACATTATCCAGTGTTTTTTTTTAAAGGTGAATAATGTTTTGTAGCATGTGAAAGTTATATGAAATTCAGATTTTAGTGTCTATCAATAAAGTTTTATTGGAACCCAGCGATGCTCCTTCCTTTGCACGTTGTTCCTGGCTGCTCTCACTGCCGCAGTCGAGGTGAGCGGCTGCAGCAGAGACCGGGGACGGTGCCCCCCCACTCTGCACTGCTGCCTGGCGCACCGCAGGTCCAGGTGACACAGAGCTTGGCAGCACGCCGAGTGCCCAGACACCACCCCACTGCGATTTTAAAAATACCAGCGTGTACCCATCATGTCAAAACAGGAGGGAGGAAGATGGCTCAGATGTCACACGTTTAAGGCGTACTGGAGTGTGGATTATTTTGCTATTGAGTTGTGGCAAAGCGTGGCATTTATTATACAGTGACACTGTACCTATGCTGACAAGAGTTCAATATATGTTGACATTACTTAACCATAGTACATTGTTAAAATCAGGACATTGCCATAGATCACATATGAATTTGACAAGTTTTTACATTCACTTTTTTTGAGGGGTGTAGTTTTAGGAAATTTTGTCACATGTGTAGATTATGTAACCATCACACAGTTTTTCCATCAACACGAACACACACTCACATCCTGTTGGTTGTTTCTCTGAGGAACCCTGGCTAATACACCAGGTTTGGGCTATGGCATATAAAATTTCTCTGAATATTTGTAAAATCTGTATAGGTTTTTGTATGAACAAAAGTTTTCCTTTCTCTAGAATCAATGCCCGTGAGTGTGATTGCTGGGTCATGCAGTGTGTTTTTACCTTGGTAAGAAACTGCAAAACTGTTTTCTAGAATGGCTATTCCATTCTATAGCCCCACAGCAAAGGCTGAGAGGCCAGTTGGTCTTCATTCTCTTCAGGACTTGGTGTTGTACTTTATAGGTTAGCCTTTCTAATAGGCAGATAGCGGTAATATTTTTCTTTTTAAGTTTTTTCTCCCTGATCACATTTATCATTTTTGTTTTTCTATCTCCAAAACCTGCATTTGTGGTCTTTTCAGAAAGAATGGGCTGGTGAGAACAGGTGATTGGGGTTGGGTGAGGCACAAGCTCTTCTCCAGACCCATCACCTGTAAAAAGAACCCCCAGTAATCACGGGTTTTACAAGGAATTTCTGAAACATGGGTCTTCATATCTACTGCTCCATAACAATTACCCTAAAACTTAGCGGCTTAAAACATTTATTTGGACCGGTTTACTTTGGGTCAGGAACAGGAGCGCAGCTTGAATGGGTTCTCAGACACTAGGTGTCTCAAGACTACAGTCATGCCCAGGCTCAGCGCAAAGGGACCCGCTTCCCAGCTCACTCGGGTAACTGGCAGGACTCAGTTCCTCGCAGATTCAGCCGGCGCCTCGGTTCCTTGCTAGCTATTGGCTGGAGGCTGCCCTCAGTTCTTTGCCCCCAGGGGGCTCTTCAGTATGGCCGTGGGCTTCATCCAACACACACACGGGAAACTTCACAACCGTGTGAATAACAGGACGTGGCGATCGTTGGGAACCATTTCAGGAGCTGCAGGTGTTGAGGTTTGACGAGCTAGAGGAAGCGGAGGCTGCCGGAGAATTCGCCTTGAAGCCGCCTTTGCAAGGTAAGCATAGATTTCACTTAGAATGATTATTTATTTGTGTTATTTGGGGAAGGAAGACAGAGTTCATAGGCTGCAAAATCTCAAACACCTCTTGGCAGCACCATCATAGGGCATAGACAGAAGGAGCCCTCTCCACCAAGGGCGGGATCCGCCCCTTAAAGATGCTCAACGGGTGAATTTAAGGGGCCCGGTAATTCTCACCCCTGGACTTACACAGCAAACAAAATAAAGCCAGTACCGGAAANTGTAGACAGGAGCCCTCTCCACCAAGGGCGGGATCCGCCCCTTAAAGATGCTCAACGGGTGAATTTAAGGGGCCCGGTAATTCTCACCCCTGGACTTACACAGCAAACAAAATAAAGCCAGTATCGGAAATCTACAAATTTAGAAGACCATCTGAGTCCTTTCTGTGACCCCTTCTCTAATCTGAACTGTGGAAGGGTTAGAGATTCAAGCCCAGAGGAGAGCAAGCCTTTGGCTCCTCGAACCTACCACACCATACCAATGACCTGGGGAAGCCTTCTAACAAAATAAGAAAGAAGTTAAGGAATACTTTTCACAACACATATTTGTACAGCGTATTCATATTACTTACTGGAGAAATGCCGGAACCTGGTTAAGACTGGTTTTCTCTGGGGAGAGGACTGGGAGGTCTGTGCTGCGGGCTGTCTTGTGTGTTACGGTACATCCTTTTATGCTGTTTCTGTGTTCCCGTGGGCAGGTATTTCTCTCTCAATTTAAAGACAGTTTTTATAAACTCCTTAAATCACCCCTGAAGTAAAGATAAAGAAAATGCAGATGGCAAATTACCCAGAAAGTAATGAAAATGAAAACTTTTGTCAAAAAGCAATGGGACACAGCTGAAACTATATCTGAAATAAAACAAGTAACTCAAACCGTGTTTGTTTAAAAAATGGACTGAAAATAAGCTAAACATGCAGCTTAACAAATAGAAAAGAAAAACAAAATAAACCTAAGAAAATAGGAGGAAAGAATTCACGAAATTAATTTAAAAAGAAAAACAACTTAGAAATACTTAAAAACAAACCTGATACTTATAATTTAATTAACTCTGGAAACCTAATTAAGGATACAAGAGAGGAAGATGGAAACTTGCAACATTAGGGACTGTAAAGCTGTGAAAGACATTTGAAAAATTACAGAAGGGTATGAACAACTCTGTGCAACCTTAGGGAAACGTATGATTTTTCTGGCAAAATATAAATAAACCAGGTTCACTTAGGAAGTGATAGAAAGGCAAGTAAACCATTACATGTAACAGAAATTAGAAGCCGGCTGAAGACCTGCCTTTTGAAAGGCTCCAGGACCTGGTGATTTTATCATCGAAATCTGCTCAGCCTCAGAGAACAGATGATGCCTGTTATGTTAACTATTCACAGAAAAAAGATGAGATTCCATCAGTCATATTTATGAAGCAAAGAGGGGCTGAATGACAAAACCAGATAAATATAACTGAAATAGAGAACTATAGGTCAATATTCACTAGTAGAAATAGAAATATTCTAAGTAAAAATAGAGATTCTAGTTATTCAAATAACAGCCTATCTGGCCAAATAGATTTCAATCCAAATACAATGATTAGGAAATATATCAGTGTAATTCATTGTACCCACAGAACAAAGGGGGAACACCTGATGTGGCATATGATAAAGCTTAACAGCTTTTATAAAGGAAATTGTACAGACAAATGGCAAGAAAAGTAGAAACTGAAAATGGCTAATAGACATATAAAAAGATACTGAATCTCAAATGGAAATAAAAATAATTTTTAACTCTCAAAGTGAAAAAAATGTCAGCGCTGGCGAGAGTATATGCAAGTGAGCTCCCTCATTTATTGCTAGTGAGAATGCAAGTTGTTAAATTATTGCAAGAAAACTTAATGTATCTGCTAAAAATTGGCCAGAAATGGCCCTTTTGGGAATCTGCTCTATAGAATAAAAGCATAAACAAATAGGAATAAATATAAACAAATACTTTGTAGAGACAAAAAGCAATAAACAACTTCCCTGCCCATTGGTAAATGGTTGAATGAGCTGGGCAACATTGTCATCACTGGTTAGCTATTAAATAGAATGCATTAAGTCTACACATATTTTATCGGATGCAGTGATCGTCTGCATATATTATATGAAATGTAATTCCCCTATAAGAAAACTAACCCTTTGAAAGTATAACATTCAGTGGTTTTTAGAATATTCACAAGTTTGTGCAACCATCGCCACCATCCACTTCCAGAATATTTTCACCAGCCCCAAAGAAACTGTAGCCATTAGCAGTCAAAATGCTAGAAAACTAACCCTCAGGAGCAACCCTCAGCTAACCCTGGCAGAAGCTGGTGTATAAACGCTCCTCTCCCCTGCCTCTCCTGTGACGAACTCAGGCACCCGTTGATGTAGTTCCCCCTCAGGCCCGAACCCGAGTCTTCACAACGCGCCCTCCGTGGTAAGGCGCACTGTGGAAATGGCTGCCTCTGACTCTCCTTACCTTTCCCTCCTCCTGTTTCCTGGCGTCACGTCCCCAGTAAACTCCTTGCATTCACATCTTTGCCTTGAGGTCTGCTTCTGCAAGAACCTCACTAAGAAGACACATCAGAAGCAGTCCTAGAGAGAGATTTCCAGGGTGGAGTCCTGGAATTGTATGATTCGCTGCCCAGGTGACAGCAAAGACCCCGTTATTGGGGGTAATTGGGGATGATAACCCCTCATGCTGTAGTATCACAATTACTAGGACTGTGGTGAGTTGGGAGGGGATGCAAGTGGCAAAGGATGTGCTTCTGTAATATGTCCAGTGTCTGAAAGGAGTGGGGA